AAGGGGAGTCACTCTCTCTGCTTGTTAGCAGCCCCTGCCTGTCTGCTCTGGAACATGCGGCTGGTAATGCAAGGTTGGGAAACCCCTGTGCTGTGAGGGGAGCCGGGGGAAGCAGATGGGCACAGGGATAATACACCATCTCTACACACCTAGGCATGGTGTCGAGACGGGGAACGTGCACATGGCTCACAGGGCAGCAGGGTCCTGGCACGCAGACACCATGGGGATGGCAGGGGAACATTCTGCAGAAGTAAAGCTCTCAAGCTCTCATAGGGACCTGCTCAAGAAGCGTCAAGGGACAAGGCCATCAAAGGACGTAACTAAATGGTTTGTTTCTGGAACTGCTGTCCCGTACTTAGAGAAGGTGGCTACAAGTGTTCATCCTGTTCCCAGCTTGATATGCATCATCCTGTTCCCAGCTTGATATGCAAACTTGGGCAACTAATTTAACTTCCCAACATTGCACTAAGCTGCTAGATCTGGGAGAGCAGAATGCTTTACAAGCACCAATCCACAGTGGGAAGGATCATTTACGTTAGTGTCAGATTGTAATATATATATACACATGTGTATTCCCTTGAAAACTCTACATGAGAGAGCATGCCTGGACATGTCAACCACAGATACACCCAGACACGGCTACCAAGCACCAGCGCCAGTTTCATGGCCTGTCACAAAATATTTTAAATGCTTGTTTAAACACCGGCACACTTATCTGGAGCAACCATACCGGTGTTTGCCAAACCACACAAACAACGTACTTCATCCTCTATGGCACAGCTGCTCTAACCATGGGACGCAAGAGCCGTGTCCTCCGTGCACAGCGTGAGAGGCCGGAAAGTCACTCACAGCACTCCGCCCAAGTATCTTAGCTGGGCGCTGGGAGGAATCTTTCCCCTAGTGCCACAGAGTGTTAACAGCCATTCCTCAGAGGAGCCTCGAGACCCCTAATGCTCCTCCCACAAGAGCAGAGGATCTGGGCAGGACCTCTCCTTGCCCCTACCCCTGCTGCCCCGGGAGCACTCACAGGGGATACACCCCCCCTGCACAGCCTCCCAAGCCCTACTTCCCCAGATCCACTGACATCACTCAGGTGCCGTTTTCGCGCCAGACTCTTCGAGGCTCCTGTTCCAAATGCCATCAGCCAGGCACAAGGTTTAGCATGGAGTACCAGGAGTGACCCCCCTCTTCCATACCTGCAGAGCCCTTCTCCTGCCCCCGTGGGCCCAAAGAGGTACAAGGCTTGGGAGCAGCACTGTCATGGGCTTTAGCAGGGGCCTCTCTGGGGACGATGACTGGCCAGCAGACCAGGAACCCTGCTTCTGCGGAGCTTTGGGCTCGGCTAGCCACCGCCTTCTTTCTCTCTGCCACAAGAACTGGAATCTAATGTAAAGTGGCAGATTCCTGAAATTACAATTTACAACCGAGAATCAGTAGCAACGTAGAAATTGTGAGAAACGATTGTTTTAATTTCTTGCAAAGAGAGTGAAGCCCACCTGAGCTGGGAAACAGCACATCTTTCCCTCGGGATCAGCCTCCAGCAATGCCATCCTGAGCCCCACTGTGTCCCCCCATTCTAGGCACAGGTGTGGGGTGGCCTAGTCCTGCTCCTAGTGGTGTCTGTATTATAAAAGCACTCGCACATTGGCACTAGCTGGCCCCAGTGAGCCAGTCAGCGGAGGCCAAGGAGACCGAACCCCCAAGTCCCATCACATCATGCTTGAGGCGCGCTGATGGACAGCACAACAGCCTGTTCCTCGGAGAGAAACCGTCAGTCAGCAGGGCTAATAATTCAGTACCTTTCACCAGCTCTAATTGGGGGCAGGGGGAGGCCTTGCAAATCTGTTGCCACAGTTGCTAGCATCTGAAGAGTTGGCTCCCCCTTGAACCCACACGGTGCAAGGGGAGACCTGGAAGCACTCCCCCTCCCCTCCGCAGAGGCCCTTGCTAGAGAGACCTGCAGCTCCATGGCCCCTCTTGGTGCATGGAGGAACAGAAACTGGGACAGCAGAGACTCCCTTTCACAGCCTCGACCTCCCCCTCCTCTTGCAGCAGCATGAGAGCTCCCAGCAAAGCCAGCAGTGCGGGAGAGGAGCGTTTAAGCACAGACTATTTATGATAGAACCATAAAATGATTCAGCAGGCTCAGAAAACCCCCCCGGAATCTATTTTAAGAGACAGTCCTGGCTCAGCAAACCACGTTTCTGTTTCAGCTCCTGCCCCTCTTCCCGAGTGGAGATGGGGCAGCCCCTCCAGCTGCCCCCGTCCAGTGACCTGTCATGCCGACGCTTTTCTGCCACTAGAACAAGCTGCAGAAGCGTCCCTAGCCTCAGACTAGCAAAGCCCCCGATTCCACAGCCAGGCCCGCTGGTGAGAGGTACCGCTGCCAGCAGCAGCCAGGGCACTCCGCTCACACGTGGGCCTCTCGCAAACACAGAACCCAGACCACTGAGCTTCAGACCAGGTCTGGTCTCCCGGGCTCGTGTCTCTGGGCGTCGAGCTAGGGAACATGCCGCACAAAGCCACCAGCTCAAGCTGTGCCACGGTCTGTCCACTGGGGCAGAGGCACATTGCTGTCCCGCTGGAGCGGTCCTCCTCTGACAACGCCAAGTGGCTGAAGGACCAGGGCCCTGCTGAATTCGGAGACCTAGCTGGCCCTGCGGTTTCAGGGTTCAAGCACCAGGCTGTCAGCCTATATTAGTCAGTGCCCACTTCTTCTCGAGAAGGCGCTGTCCTGCGTAGCCCCGTAGTCCTCAGACGGCCCACACAGCCCGAGGGCTGGGCCAGGCGCTGGCAGTAAATAACCACTGGTGGGGCTGCACTTTGGGGAGGGGCAGCAGAGGATGGATATGGAGCTAGGGAACAGACATGCAATCCAAGGGGTCTCAGATAGTCCCCCCACCCAGTCTCCACCCGTCCCCAACTGGGCAAAGCAGGGGTTCAGCCCAGGCACAGAACCCAGGGCAGATGAAGAGGAAATACTCAGACCCCCCCGGCCAGGCCGGCAGATCTCAAAGTGAAGGGCCAGGCCCCAGCTGCTGAGACCTTAGGGAACAAGGGATTACTGGAGCCTGAGCAGAGAAAGCCCTGACCCCAGCCAGATAGGGAGCAGCGATGGGACGGGAGCCCTGTACAAGCGCTGTACCCCTGGGCCACAGACAGCTTACTGTGGGGTGGGCACACCTCTTCCTTGGAGGGGCTGGGACCCCACGGGGGCAGGGAAGAGGTGCGCCAAGGCCCCACGGGGGGAGGGAAGGGAAGATAGGGGGCCGGGGCCCCATGGGGAAAGATAAGATGGGGGGCCGGGGCCCCTCTCCAAGGGCAGGCTGAGACCCCACAGGGGGAGGGAAGATGGGGGGCTGGGACCCCACGGGGGGAGGGAAGATGGGGGGCTGAAGCCCCATGGGGGGAGGGAAGATGGGGGACCGGGGCCCCTCTCCAAGGGCAGGCTGGGACCCCACGGGGGGAGGGAAGATGGGGGGCCGGGGCCCCACGGCAGGACACGGGCCCTCTCTCCCAGCGTCAGGCCCGCACTCACCGCCCGTGATTTTCTGCAGCCCCAGCACGTCCTCGGGGCCGATGAGCGGCTTCCGCAGCAGCTCCTCCTCGGGGCCCGCGGCCGCCGCCCCGCCGCCCTTCTTCACCCTCATGGCCGCGGCCCCGCCGCTGCCCCGCCGGCCGGAGCGAGTGTCAGCGCGGAGAGCGGGCTCGCTCATCCCCCGCCCGCGGCCCCGCTCGGCGCCTTTGCCGGCAAAGCCCCCGCGCTGCCGCCGGCTGCGGCCCGGCCGCCTGGCTCCGCCCGCGCCGGGGAGGGGCCGCCCGGCCCCGCCCCGGGACAGGCCCCCAGCAGGGCGGGGTCATTGCTGGCCGGGGGCCCCAGGCCGTGACTTTCGCCGGCTCCTCCCGCACGGCGCGGGGACGGGTTTGCCTGAGCCCCCCTCGCCCCCAGGACAAGCTCTCCAGCCGGGCCGACCGCCAGGGAGCCCAAGACCCAGCTGTCTAACCCCAGCAGCGCCTGCACCCTTGGGCCCGCACAGGTGTAGGGCTGTTTGAACCGCAGCCTCCCCCCCGCAGAGGGTCTGGCCCTTCCCGTCACCCTACAGCCCTGGCGAACAGCGGGAACATCCCCACCTGAGTGGGGTTTGGCCACCCAGCCTGTGAGGTGGGTGCACAGACCTGGCTGTTTTCTGGCTGTCTTCCATCAAAGCCCTGAGAAACCAGCTACTGTACCCGACACCCAGCACTGACCACCCACTTCACTGGCACCCAGGGCAAGAAACACATAGTGCGCCCCCTTAATTAGAGGGTGCAGCCAGGGCCGGTTTTAGGCCGATTCTCCGGACTCGGGCCCCACGCCTTAGGCTCACCAGCGGCGCTCTGACAGCATTTCAGCGGCAGCAGCGGGGTCCGCTCCGGGCTCCTCGGTGGCATTTTAGCAGCAGGAGGTCCTTCAGTGCTGCGGAAGACCCCGACCACTGCCGGGTCCTAAAACCTGCCCTGGGTGCAGCCTTCACAAAGCCAGGGTGCAAGTCCCCTGTCCTAAATGGTCCAGTGCACACCCTAGTCCCATCTCTTCTATGGCAGAGCCATTTGGCCTTGTGGGGAGTGTTCTTAGAGAAGAGACCCTGCAAATCAGTATAGAGCAAAGCACAGATTATACACGGGGGAGGTTCAATGGGCTCTCTCCAGCTCACAGCCAGCCTCCAAGCAGCACTGAGCATTGCTATTGCAAAACAGCACCTTCCCCTCGAAGCTCAAATTTTCAGAGGACTGTGAATCAGCTGCAGAAACAAGACAAAGGCTACAGCTTGCAGTCAGTGCCTGAGATCTCCCCATCTCCCACAGCTTTTATTTTAAGCAGTGTGGAGTTGATGGAATTTTTAATACAGAAACATTTCTTGTGCTTCTATTTCTCAAAAATAGCTTTGTTTAGACCCACAAGGATGCAGGCCCATCTCCTAATTTGAAATTGGATATAGCATAAACTGAAAGCAGAAATAGGCATTCCCTAAGATTTAATAGGAATAATTAAGGTGGATACATCATGTCAGTCCAGACTAGCAGAAGGTGCAAGTTTTAAAGAATAAAGAAGAGGTAGGTGCAGGTTAGGTATTTCACACTATTTCAAGGTACACACAAACACTGGCTCCTTTACCAGTTCAGCTAGCCCCAGCACTGGACTTGGCCTGGGCTTAGATACTGCAGCTGCAGGGACCGCGTAGGCCACACAGCATCATGCTGCAGTTCAAAAAGCACTTGCTGGGGGTCCGCACTGAAGTGAGGGGTACGTGGCGTTGGCTCCTCATTTTCAACGGCTAAATTGTATGAAGAAGCTAGAAGTCTGTTAAAATACTGCCGCTGGGTCAGCCCAGGCGAGAGGAGTTAGCTCCGTTCTAGACTAACACCCAACACTTCAGACTAATGGAAATGCACCGCATTGCTGCTGATCCAAGTCACCCTACCCTCTCCCAGCCTTCCCCATTACGGAAACAGAGGGGGGGCTGGCTTTTGGAAACACGGCTTCTCAAAGTAGCAATGTCTGAGCCTGGAACATAGCAGACACATGAAAACTCACTCTGCCTAGGACGCTCAGTCCCCGTCCAGAGGGAACAGTAAGAGGTACAGCAGGTCAAGGTGTTAGCAAAACTGGGTGAGGGGACCCAGAATGATACAGCAGGGGGTGGATTGAGGTGGGGGGTAGTGGAGTAACGGGGGAGGGGTCTAGTAGGAGCTGCTGCCCATGGCTGAAGCCCCAGTGCCCCTCATTACACCTTAGTACAGTCATACTCAACAGGGGTAGTTAGGGTGTCTACACTGCCCACATTACAGCAGCCAGGGCAGCGCAGTCGCGCTTCATCACCAGGGGCGAGCTCTCCTGGCGATAAAAAATAACCACCGCGAACAAGCGCTGGTAGCTTTATGGCCAGGTGCGGCTCCCAGCGATAAAGCGCTGTCTAGACTGGTGCTTTTCAGCGCTAAAACTTTTGTTTCACACCCCTGAAGGACTGAAGTTTTAGCGCTGAAAGTGGCAATGTATTCACAGCCTTAGATAAGTAACAGCCCTGACCCAACAGCAGTGTTTGGAGACACCTTGCCTGATGCAGCTGCCACTCTCAGGGTAAACTTGCTGGATAAGGGAAGCAGACCAGCGTGGTTATTACAGTCAGAGCGTACGAGGAGAGGGATCTACTTGCTGACATATCAAGAGGATTTCATGCTACAAACCAAACCAAACAAGACTCTCTAGTCTAGAGCACTGCTTGGTGCCTCGGAAGTGCCTGCTGTGATTGCCCATTTAAAGGACGCTTAGTTAGGGTGGAGAGCCTGCAGCCTGGGGCATAGAGAGAGGAGAGGAAAGGAAAGGAAGGGGCGGGGCTTCGGAGAGTGACACAGCTCGGACTATTAGTGCAGAGAGAATATAACCAAGGCAGGCAGCAAGCTAAGGCTCACACATGAAGCTTGAAAACCCGAGACCGTAGCAAGGAGGCAAAGGGTTATGTTAGAGGTACTGAAGGGGGCTGTTACAGATAACGGGGCTCCCGGCAGAGGAGGGAGAGCCAAGCAGCACTGACGTATTTAGGCAGAAGTGGGACGCTGGCACAGAATTTTGTCAATGGACAGGGAGGTCATGGTCACACTTCGGAGGAATCAGGCACTCTTTGGGAGTCAAGAAAGAATCTAGTGCTGAGCATGTTCCACCCCGGATTGGCCGTGGTGGGGAGTTTGCCATTGCCTGGTAGAATGTGGAGAACTGCACAGTCAGGGCACCTAGGCCTACTGTGTGTGGTACCTGGTGCTCTGTGGTAGGTCAGGGAACTGTCCTTTCACCCTGGTTTTCTTGCCCACAGACCAGGCCCATCCTGTTGCAAGGTCCCTGGAACCACTGGTTGCAGCTCCTGAGATACAAGCAAGTAGTGTAGAAACTCTCAGGCCCTGCTCTCATCTCCAGGGAAGCACTTCCCCACAGCCAGCCCAATGCCCAGCAAATGCTTCCGCTCTTGCTCCACTGAGCTGGGACAGAACTGGACAGCTTCCAGCAGGGTCTAGCTCCCTGCAGCACCCTCTCCCACAGCACAGAGCAGCAAGGTCCTTCCCATTGGGAAGGACAGACGGACAGACATGCTGGGAGGGAGAGAGACTGGAGCGAGGCAGATGGCCAGGGTGAGCAGCACAACACTCTCCACACTGGATTTCCCAGAACCTAGCCCATCTGACAGGAAACCCTCCCAGGCTGACATACACAGGAGCCATCCCGTGAGAGAGCTGCACTGGCTTGGGCCACCCTGAGAAGCTCCAAGCCAGCCAGGGTGGCACAGGCTGCTTGAATTCCCAGGAAAGGAACGCTGCCTCTCAGCAGAGTCTGGCTTTTACTTTTATTAAAAAGAAACCTTGTTTTGTTCAGCATTGATCAGTGCATCACTCTCACGTCTGCCCCCCCCCCCAGCCCACCTGCAAAACAGGGCCCCAGGCTCCCCTCACAGAGACCCACAGGCTGCCAGCCGTGGCAGGAAGCTAAGAAACCCAAGAGCCACTTTCTGAACGGCCCTGAAGGATGAGCAGCACTCACCTGCTGCAGCCACTGTGAGGAAGTGCTGCCCCAATGCACAGGCCCAGGCTGGCCTGTATATGCCCCCTACGTTGGGGAAGGTGGCAGGGTCACACTTGTGGATTAACAGCTCACAAGGGGAGGGACCCGGGTCCAGTGCACGTAGAGGGGACCCTGCCAATACCAAGGCTCTCAACAGGAATAAAAGGAAGGTGCCCCACAGGTCTCACTCCCGCTAAGCTAGGCAGCCCCAGGGGCACGCCATGTAGGGGCTGGGCTGGAAGGGTGCACTTCAGGCTGCTGAAGCACTCAGAGGACAGTCTCCAGAGCATCTCCCAATCCTTCCGACTCAAAGGAAAGCCCCTTCATCCAGGCACCGTGTGGGGAGTGCAAGCTTGACTCATACCCAGGGAACCCCAAACTGCCTCCTCTGCTGTCTGGTGGTGGAGCTGGCTGCAGTAACTAGAAAAAGCAGAAGTGGCCCGAGCTCATCCACCTTAGACCCAGCCTGCAGGGGCATTTTGCACAGACTGCCAGTCACTCGCAGCTGTAGCCACTCTGCACTCCTTGGCGGAGATCTGCCCAGGCCAGCTGACGGGCTTGTGGGGCTCTTGCTAAGCGGCTGTTTAATTGAGGTGTAGACATTGGGGCTTGGACTGGAGCCCACGCTCTGGTACCTTCCCACCTTGCAGGGTCCTAGAGCCCGGGCTCCAGCCCAAGCCCAAAGAACCACACCGCAATGAAACAGCCCCTTAGCCGGAGTTGGCTGGCCCGGGCCAGCCGCAGGGGCCTAGCTGCAGCATAGGAGTCCCTGCTAACCCCCTAGGTAAAGGCAAAGGCGAACCCAAGAGCTTCATGCTGGGAAGTGGCCGTGCTGGGGCTAAGCCTCGGTTTCTGACCCAACACCCTATTTCTGCCAGACTTTCCACTCTTCCAGGATTCATGAAGAATCATCTGAGTCCAAGCCCTTTAACTGGGCCCGGACTGTTCCTACACAGACAGGCTGTCACGAGCTGGCTCTGAGCTCCCCTGCCCCATGGGGCAGCTGCAGACAGGCTCAGTCAGTTTTCATGGGCTCCTTCTTGCTCTGTTTGGCTTCCCGGAGGATCTTCACCAGGGACAGCAGGATGGGCACCGCCATCGGCAGGAAGAGTGGAATGTAGATGGCAAATTTCTGGTCATCAGGGAAGTAGAGGAGATGCAGCAGCGAAGGGTCAAAGAAGGCCCGCTCCGAGGAGGTGACCGCCTCTTTACTGGCCTGGAATGCTGAGCCCAGACGGCCAGAGGCCAGCTCCAGCATGGCGGTCTGCGCGGAGGCTACTGCATGGTATACCTGGATGGGACCACACAAAGGGTCAGTGCCCAGCAGTTCCCTGTCTGGCCCAGGCAGGTCAGGGGAGCTCCAGGCTCACACACTTGAGGCCTTAGGAGTGCCAGAAGCCGAGCAGATCCTGGATTGTCAAGTCTGGCTCTGCGCTAAGAAGTGACACTGGCCTCTACATATCCCTTCTCAGCACCCCACAGCCAGGGAGCGCCGAGCGTCAAGCCCCCTACTCCTACACGGTCACCAGACACGCTTTCTACGCTCTCAGCTACACCAGTGCAGTCCCATTCTCTTCAGTGGCTTGCACACAGAGTCACTGGGGCAAGACATGGGCCTGCAACAGGAACTTAGCAAACTGCTGCATTGACGCCACACAGGAAGGAAGGGCTGGAATCCACTCAGTGCCTCAGAGCTGCCTTGGCTCCAGGGTTACAACACCCCCCACCCCACCCCAGGGAGTGGATCTGCCACTTGTACGCTCACTTTTCAGCACAAACTTTCACTCAACGCCACCAAGGGGGTCTCAGCCCAGCAGAGGGGGGGGATGGGAGGATTTAGAAGGTCTCTCCCCAGTGAGGCTGTGGCAGTTTCTATTAATTCTAGGTCCAGGGCACAAGGGGGCGGTGATGCTGCAGAGGCAGAATTCTCAGCCCAGGAGAGGACGCCCTTGTGTCCTCTAGCTGACTCAAGCAGCCAGGCCTGGTCCAGCCTTCCAGGTTAAGGCCAACAATTTTCAGAAAGTTTCCCCATCCCCAAGAGGAGAAATTAATACACCAATCTGGGCAGTCAAGTCTCGAGCAGCAGCAACTCATGGGTCTCCTATGTGATGCTGGCAGCCCCCAACCTGTCATGGGGACCCTCCCAACACCCACCCACCTCAGAAGCAACATCATCCTTGATGACGATGTTCCCGATCTTGTCTAGCAGTTGGGCCAGGGAGGTGAGGGTGGTGGACACCGTGGCGATATTCTCCACCGTCCGGGTCCACAGCAGGCGGTCCAGCTCCCAGTCAGTCAGCCCCTTGTTCCCAGGGCTCTCCAGCAGGAACTCCTCTGGGAGCGGCACCTGGGAGATCCCAAACAACAACCTGGGGGGGAGAAGGGGCAGATCAGGTCTGTGCTGGCAAGGGAGGTCACCGGGCCAACTCTTCTGCAGGAGGTGTGAGCACGGCGAATGGGCACGTGGCAGAAATGTTCTCGTCTGCCTTTCCTGCAGGGAGTTCAGCCCCGACACAAGGTGCAGGTCTGAGTCCTGCTGCGCAAGGGGGCAGGTGCGAATCAGGCTTCCCAAACACATTACTGCCGAGCTAAGGCAGAACGAGGCCGGTCCGTGACACTTATCAGAGGGGTAGCCATGTTAGTCTGAATCTGTAAAAAGCAACAGAGGGTCCTGTGGCACCTTTA